ACCGAAGGGCTCAATTTGTCGCAGCGATTTCACGGGTATCGAGAACGAAAGAGAACCTCGACAACAATTGTTTCTCTCGATTCGATTCTTCTGGCCTGGCCTCCTTCGTTAGACCGCGGCGAATCCACGAGCGAACAACTTCTCACTTTTTCCCCGAAAAACGAGGGAAAAAATTAGACGGTAGAAAGATATAATTCAGAGACTCCTCTCTTTCGTAATTACGATTCAAAAAAAAAAAAAAGAAAAAATACGCACGAAGAAAAAAAAACACAAATAAAATACCAATTAAAAATTAGAGTTAAAAATTTGAAGATAATAGGTTAAAAGGGAATATCTATTTGGGATCCTCCTCCCCCCACGAAACACATCAATCTTTCCCCGTTTTTCAGCGCGACGATCCAGATCCAAGATTCTATTCTTTTATTTATTATCATATATTATTATTATCATATATATATTATCATATATATTATTATCATATATATATTATTATCAAGGAACGAGAAAACGAAGCGTGATCAACTTGCGACGAGAATTGTTCTGTTCTAATCCCTGAGCATTTAATTTCGTTAATATACCGCCCCCCTTTACGAGTTACGAGCATCGAGAAACCGAATTTTCTCATATCGTACAATTTCTGACGATCCGACGATGATAAATTTTAGGCCGCTTTCACGCGCTTCGTTACACGAATACTTCATCGCGACCGCCTTTTCTTAGAGAAGAGGGGAAGGGGAGGGGAGAAAAGAAAAGGAATCGATAAAAGATTCACAACTTTTAAATTGAATTTCGAAACTACTACTACTACTGGTACTTGTACAAACGAGATCTGATAATAAAGTTTGAGAACAGCTGCTTCGTTGTAAATTTTGCTTTAACCATGTTCGAAATACGAATCCCTTTGGGGAGTGGAAAAAGAGGAAATACGAGGAAAAAGAAAAATTCAGAAAAGATCGAAAGAATTCTTTTTTCAATTCTTTATTTCATATTAGTTGAAAAGATATAATTTTTTATTACTCATAATTTTCGTATGCATAGAGATGATCGAAGTATCAGATAACTTCAGTAGAGTGAGCGATAATATTTTTGGAAAGGAGCGAGATTCTTGCAAATGTTACACAGGCCACTTTCGAGGGAGAAGATAGATTTGGAATGGATGTTGGAAGGATGAGGACGTCAAGGATGGATCGAAGGGACGGGTTTTGCGAAACCGAGTCACGAAACCGAACGCCAATTATCGACCGATGCTAATGAACCTATCGCTCGTGAAAAGAAACGAATGGATGGAGGAATCTTTCTTTCTTTCTTTCTTTCTTTACATTCGTCGATATTCTCTTCTCGCTCTATCGGATTCTCGACTCTTTCTCTCGCGCCTCCACGCTTTTTGCTTCCCCCCCCTCCCTCCCTGTTTAATTTATCAGAGAGAGGGAATCGTTTACGAGGTTAGACTTTATTTTCAGACGAATCTTCTAATTTTTCTATCTCATTTTTTTTCTTTGAGAAAAAACTTTTGACTAAACTAGCAACGAACGAAAGTTATCGTGTTAACTTTTAAAGAAATATCTCGAGAAAAATTATTATCGTTCCTCTTTATTAACGTTTATGACGATTTTTCATCGTTTTTTTTTCCTGTAAATATAATTTAAATTTTTAGTCGTAATTATTTATATTACAAAAATTGATGAACATTACCAAAAATTTATTTTAAAATTTTCGAGAAGAAATATATACTTTGTATATACAATTATTCCATTCTTTATTAAAATATCGTACATTTTACGGATTCGTGTTCCATATCCAGTGTGGAATAATATCGTATCTAACAACAAAATGGAACTCGCATTATCGCGATATCTCTCGCGTATACCATCGTCGTGAAATTTCGGTTCGGTTCGCAACAATTCCGGCCCAATAACTGTATCGGCGATCTTACCAAGGAAAATTTTCCACGAGATTAATAGATCGTTTAATCGAATAATAGTTCGATACAATAGTGAAAGCGTTCGATATTATCCTTCGCATAATCATCGTGGTATTTATGTTTCCGGTCGATTCCACCCTTCCCCTCCTCCCCCCTCATTTTCTAATTTCCACGTCACTCGTGGACGCACGCCCCTCCTCCCACCCCGCTCCACGGTATAATTACGTTGCTCGGAACAATAACGCGGTTTCCTTTCATGTGGCCGTCGTCGCGTGTTCGATTAAACCGCCGATACGTACGTCACTGCCGCGATATCTGTTTGGTTATAAAGTCGGGTGGCGATAAGTATGCCCTTAAACCACGATATCCGCGTGGTAATTTCGCCCGCAACACCTCGCCTCGCTCGTTAAAACCAACCAACCTTCCATCCGAGCTTTCATTTTTTTGTGTTTCTCGTTTACAACCTGATGCGAGTGCAATATACAGGTTGTATGCGTAAGGAGAAACTCGTGGTACGAGAAGATTCTTCGCGCAAAATTAAATGTGAAACGATTGATTAAATATCTTGCGCGCTCAAGAGATCGCGTCGTGCGTGTTTCTTCGCACTTGTAAACTCGTTTGAAGAAATAAATATATATGTGTCGTATGTAATTTATCTTAAAACTCGATTGAATCCTATTAAAATTAAGAAAAGTTTAAACCGTTGTAACTCTGAGGATAACGAAACTTGGTGGATGAATCGAAGATCGTTAGAAGCGCGGAATCTTGCTCTTTAAAATCATTTTTTATTTATTTCGATACGACTTCCGGTTCCCGAGATATCATCGTGTAAAGGAAATTCAATTTCTGATCGTTCGATTTAATCCGATTAAACCGTATTAAAATTAGAACAAAATTTGAACCGTTATAACTTCGAGGATAGGAATTTCCGATCAACAAATGAAAGATCGTTAGAAGCGCGGAATCATGCTCTTTAAAATGCTTTTTAATTCATCTCGATATAAGTTCTGATTCCCGAGATATCGTCGTGTAAAGAAGAGGTTAATTTTTAAGCGTATATCGACTCGTTCGCATGCCGTCTCACTGACCTATTCCAAACACCAGTCAAACGACAGACGCGATTCCTACAAAGATATTTCCAGAAAAAATATCGATTACTGATAAAAAATAATTTTTTAATTTAATTTTCTTTTGAAAAGGTTTATTATCGTGATGTAAAATATAGAAGTTAACTTACCGACCACGGTGAGATACACGGAATATCCAATGGGAGGAGTGGTGGATATTTGGCACTCGTAAATACCGGAATCCTTCTTCTGAGGATATCGTATCCTCAATGTCCACTCCTCTGTGTGCGGTGTGTGCATTGCCTCGAAACGTTGATCGCTCGTGTAAGTGTAACGACCGACTGTCAGCAGGTGAATGTCTCGATGCCTAACCCACGAGACCTAGAAAGACAATAAATTTTATATTCGATTTTGATCTCCATGTGTAAAGATTTTTATAATATATTACATACGAAATTCATTTTTTACAATCTAATTCGATCCAAAATGACAACAACATTTGGGAAGGTAGGTTAGTCATAACGCGGGAGAATTAATCGACCCTTTAAAAAGCAGAAATGATTAGAATTCGAAACGCGAATTCACGACCGACATATTGAACGCGCGTGTGTTTACCTGCTATTCACTGACCGTGTATCGTAAACACTACACGATACACGGTATTGGCAAAAAAACATACTGTTTTCGGAACGTGTATATTTACTCTTTTTATCGCTGTGCGATAAAAAATATCTTTTATTTTCCACCTATATTTTACTCCCGAAACTATATAAAGAATATATAAATAATGTACAACGTGTACAATGTGTTGTGCGGCGTGTAATTGTTGAAGTATCATTCTATAAAAAAATTTTTTTTCCAAAATCTCTTCAATTTAAAAATCTCAAATAAAGAATTAAAACAGAAAAAAAGAATTGCATCCCAACTTGAATTATTCTATCTATATATAAGTAAAAATAAAAAATTTTATTGTTATTTAAAGTTGAGTAATAAAATAATCTTCGACGATAATATAGAAGATCGTATCGTAGAAAAAAGTTTTTTAAAGGCGGGTTAGCGTGGCAAAAATTTGTTTGGAAGAAGCCTGTTTCCACTGGGTTTACGAGCGAGACGGTGTTGGCATTAAAAAAAAAAAGTCGTATCCGAAGATAATGCTGCGGGATGCGAGGCACGTTGCATTATGTCTCGCTCGACATCCCTCGCCATTACCTTATTACCAACTCGCACGCTTTACAACATTGGAGATCGTACAACTTTTATCCCTCTCTCGTTTCTTCCTCCCCTCCTCTAAGACATCCGTTTCCCTCCTTTTATACACCGTTATTCCAACCGTCGTCGTACCGTTAAGCTCGTACGTCGTTCGTTCGTCATATAAATCCGTTGTTCCTTTATAAATCGTTTTATATTCTATAAGAGGTGTCGTTAATAATCTAATTTGTCGCGTGATATACGGATAATACACGATTCAACTATCTATGAAAAATATGAAACGATAAAATATTTGAAAGGATATATATAAGGAACTATATAATTTTTATCATATTATTAATCGGCGTATAAATTTATCTTTAATTTAGAACGAATGAAATAAAAAGTATCGTGTATTTCTTAAATTAATTGCCATGAAATATATACAGTTTAAAGGATCGAAGTTGACTAAACAATTCTTTTTTTTTTTTTCGTATAATTTTTTCAAAATATTTGGCCAAACCATATATGCGTTTTATGTACACACACATATATATATACATGTATATGTCTGAAATCTCTTGCTTAATTTACGAACAAAGTAAATTTCAACTCTCCACTGCATTATTTCGCGAGTCGAGCAATTTTCGATGTTAAATGAAATTTCTCAACCCGAATCACACAAGCGGGCAACCGCCCGCTTAATTCTTCGTTTCTCGCTTGTAATTAACGTGTCACCGCCGATTTTCAGAACATTCTCGCGCAACCGGGACGAGTTGTTCTCGGCTTGCGAGAATTTCATTTTCACAGATTACAGCGTCACAACCGATTCTTAAATAGAGTGTGATATATATATTTTTTTAAAAATCCCTCGTCCTTCGTTTCTTTCTTTCGAACTGATATCATCTGTTAAAACGAGAAATCCTCCTCGATTTTTGACGATAATTTTTATTATCCTTTCGCTCATAAATCGCTTAAAATCTTTGATATTCGATCGAAAGTATCTCGATTCTCCATTAATGTTTTTAAGTCAAGTTGCGAGATTTTTAATAATAACAAGGCAAGACTTCGATTAAAATTTTCCAATTAGCATTTTTTTTCGAGATGTATCAAGACATTTTTCAAATTACACGCCTTTAACTTTTAAAACTGAATCTAATTTATCGATCAAACGTTAAACACGATATTTCAATTAAAAATTATTATAATATAACGTAATATTCAATTCTAGGAGGGAATATAAATTTCATGTTCGTTTAAATAATCTCATACGAGAAATTGACACGAAGTTGTGCACGGAAAGAAAAAACGGAGGTGGTTTCGTAAGATAATAACGAAATTGAATTACGAAAAGGGGAGCTCGAGA